TGGTAAAATATTGTAGTTAAGGTGGGAAAAGAGAAAAAAAATTGGAAATTTCAGTCTGATATAAAAACGAGTTGTACTGGAAAAAGGAAGAAAAATAAATAGGCTGGGTACCCTCTGGTTCTGTATACTATAAATCCCTCAACTTCTCCTGGAGCTTTCCAGGGCTGCTTGGTCAGGAACTTGCTCTTCCTCTGTCCTTCCAGCTTGTCTTCTGGGCGAGGGACCTGCTATGTTGATTCTCAGGTGTGTGTACCTGGGGGAGATGTCCCGCCCCCTGCCAGGCTCAGTGGGAGCTGTTTACCCTATGAGGCCTCTGTTTCCTGGGGCCCCGGCCTCTCCCAGGGACCCATGACACCAGGAGGAACAACAGCACTGGTGGCGGCCAGGTCTCCAGCTCTGGAGTCAGCTCCCCACAGTAACTACCACAGTCTCCCAGTCCGCACTGGCCAAGGTGCTCCTGGGGTGGGACCTGCACAGCCTGGGGGCATCCGGCGGCAGGAGAGTCCTCACTGTCCTGTTCCCTCTCCATCTCCACCTGTCCCAGGGGAACGCGGGATCAGGGGCTGCATCCACTCGGCGCCCTGGGATTTGGGGCCTGCACTAATGGAATTGTGTTCCCAGGGCAGGGCTCCCAAAAGCAGCAGGGCGCAGACCCCTCTGCCCGAGCCCCTCCCCTGCCTGACCGACCAGCTTCTCCCTGAGGCCCCACCTTTACCGAGATCGGCCTGCACTGTGCGGTGCGCTTTCCCGGGGGTGCACTTCCTCTATTAGTGACTCCGGGAAACTGGAGGCTCCACTGCCCCTCCTGGGGTTCTGCCCAATTTCCCTGCTGAGCGCTTTTCCATCGGAAGAATCCAGTGCGGATTTGTAAAGTTCCTGCGTCTCCGGGGCGGGACTTTCCTGTCCCAGAGGTTCCTGCCCACCTGGCCTTCACCCGGCTCCTCATGGGGGCTCCGTCCCCACTTGATTTTTTTATTTTATTTTATTTGTATTTTTCCTCCTTCCTGCCTTGTTAGAAGTGAAAACCCTTCTCTCTGTAGCATTCCAGCTGTTCTCTCTTTAAATCTCAGGTCAAATTCGTAGGTGTTCAGGATGGTTTGAAAGTTATCCAGGTGAGTTGGTGGGACCAGGTGAGTTGAGGATCCTACTCCTCCGCCATCTTGGCCCCTCTCCTTTTCTTTCGCATCTCTTTTAAGATTAAGGCCCCTACACAGGTCCTGTGACCTCCTGAGAACTAAAACAGAAGTGCAGTGCCAGGGGCTCCTGGTTTTGTGCAGTGGCCGTTGGCCATGGTGCGGGAATGCGGGGTCTGGCCTGGCCAGGCCTGCACTGGTCCATGAGAAGGGTAATGAAGGGCACCGCAAGTGTCTCAGGAGGCAGCTAAATGGACAGTATCTGTTAGCCTCAGATGGCCTCACGTCAGGCTTTGGTGTACCACGTGTGTCAGGAATGGTCAGTGAGATGCCCCTGCCCCTCCTGAATTAGGGAAAGGCCAAGGCTACTGATCCACCTTGCTACTTATAGCATTAAGTGCCAGTTTGCACAGAGGGCAGCAATTTCATATTTTTCAGCTTACATGTATATTGACGCATGCCGAGCATATCAGTTCAGCAAGGGTTGTGGTACATCGTGGGTTGATGATTGCATTATACATTCTCATGGGAATCTAGGGCCATTTTTGGTATGTCTCTGATGTTTCCATTTTGACATCTGTAGAAGTCAGTCTCTCCCTCTGACAGAGAACCTCTCACCAGGCTACCTCATTCATGAGGCCAACGATCTGTGTGTGTTTTAAAGGTACTTATAACATTGCCATTGGCACCTCTGCATAAAAAAGTGGTACAGAAAGAGGATAGGACCCTGCTTAATGACTGGAAGTGGCTATTCTTGGCAACCTCCTTCTTGTCTTACCTCCTTGATGAGCTTTAGCATTTTCTGAAACTTTGAGAATCACATGAATCCCCAACATAGAGCTTAGCAGATGCTGGATTTAGATCTGAAAATATGACCCTGAGCACAGCATGTACTATGACCTACAGAGCTTGAGTGTTATACTGATTGCCTTGATTTTCCCTCCTCTTTTACATGGAGCCCTCTATATTCTTAACCTATCTGGATTGTATATAAAATAGTAAGGAGTCTTTGAAGCACGACTGCAGAATGTGTTTACATTGGTCTGCATCTCTATCCATCTGAGCTTTGCATCACTGTGACTTGCAAGCCCACATAAGAACAGAGAGCCCCATGTGCGAAGCTCGTGAGCTGGTAGGGAAGAACTGTGGGGCTGGTTGTCCCAGAAATCATTTAAAGATAAATGATGAAGCAATGAGTTCTTGAATGACATGATGGCAGTTAGCTTTTGGGAATAGGCAATAATAAGATATGCAGGCAGAGAGAGGTATCTTCTAGAACTGGCTGTGCACTGGGGCATAGTAAAATGTACAAGGTGAATTAATGAATATGAGTCAGCAGCCGTTGGGGCCAGTCACCTCCTTTGGCCATGCCTTGGACCTTTGCCATCCTTCATCTCAGCAAAACTTTGGCTCTTCAGCAAGCTCCATCATTCGGGACCCCTTTAGCCTTCCTATCTGAGCTCCCCTTACAAGGCCCAACATCCATGTGGACAGTATCACCCTACAGGAGTCTCCCTCATACTATCCCTTTTATTCAAAGTCACTGGGCATTTTCAAAGCAAACATGAACCGCATGGCTTCCCCATTACTCTTATTCTGCCATTATTGCCCAGCATCCTACTAAGTTGCTACCCTCCAAGGCCACCTGCCCCCTCCTAGGTCCACATTGTCTATCACCACCACATGGGGTCTTGGTGGTCTCTTTATCACCAAGAGAGCCACAGAAGCTTCCAGGCTGTCCTGGGATGGTTTACAGGCATAGAAAGCACCAAAAACAAATAGCAGTACCTTGTGGTCATTGCAGAAATCCTTCTAAATGCAGTAGAGACACAATGGGTTGGTGAAGAGACGAGGCATCTTGGGCAGCCCCGGTGGCCCAGTGGTTTAGCTCCGCCTTCAGCCCAGGGCGTGATCCTGGAGACCCAGGATCAAGTCCCACGTCAGGCTCCCTGCATGGAGCCTGCTTCTCCCTCTGCCTGTGTCTCTGCCTCTTTCTCTCTCTGTCTCTCATGAATAAATAAATAAAATCTTAAAAAGAGAGAGAGAGAGAGAGAGAGAGAGAGAGAGATGAGGCATCTTGAGACTGTCCCTAGAGCTCAATTTAAAATAATTCTCAGATAAAGAGAAGATCCTTAAAGCAGCAAGAGACAAGAAGTCCCTGACTTTCATGGGGAGGAATATTAGGGTAACAGCAGACCTCTCCACAGAGACGTGGCAGGCCAGAAACGGCTGGCAGGATATATTCAGGGTCCTAAATGAGAAGAACATGCAACCAAGAATACTTTATCAAGCAAGGCTCTCATTCAAAATGGAAGGAGAGATAAAGAGCTTCCAAGACAGGCAGGAACTGAAAGAATATGTGACCTCCAAACCAGCTCTGCAAGAAATTTTAAGGGGGACTCTTAAAACTCCCCTTTAAGAAGAAGTTCAAGTAACTCTGAACGTGAATGGACTTAATGACCCCATCAAAAGGCGCAGAGTTTCAGACTGGATAAAAAAACAGGACCCATCTATTTGCTGTCTACAAGAGACTCATTTTAGACAGAAGGACACCTACAACCTGAAAATAAAAGGTTGGAGAACCATTTACCACTCAAATGGTTCTCAAAATATACCCTAAAAACTACAGAACACTTCTGAAAGAAATTGAGGAAGACACAAAGAGATGGAAAAATATTCCATGCTCATGGATTGGCAGAATTAATATTGTGAAAATGTCAATGTTACCCAGGGCAATTTACACGTATAATGCAATCCCTATCAAAATACCATGGACTTTCTTCAGAGACTTAGAACAAATTATCTTAAGATTTGTGTGGAATCAGAAAAGACCCCAAACAGCCAGGGAATTTTAAAAAAAGAAAACCATATCTGGGGGCATCACAATGCCAGATTTCAGGTTGTACTACAAAGCTGTGGTCATCAAGACAGTGTGGTACTGGCACAAAAACAGACATATAGATCAATGGAACAGAACAGAGAACCCAGAAGTGGACCCTGAACTTTATGCTCAACTAATATACGATAAAGGAGGAAAGACGATCCACTGGAAGAAAGACAGTCTCTTCAATAAATGGTGCTGGGAAAATTGGACATCCACATGCAGAAGAATGAAACTGGACCACTCTTGCACCATACACAAAGATAAACTCAAAATAGATGAAAGATCTAAATGTGAGACAAGATTCCATCAAAATCCCAGAGGAGAACTCAGGCAACACCCTTTTTGAACTTGGCCACAGTAACCGGAGAAGGACAAACAGTGTATGTTCTCATTCATTTGGGGAATATGAATAATAGCGAAAGGGAATATAAGGGAAGGGAGAAGAAATGTGTGAGAAATATCAGAAAGGGAGACAGAACATAAAGACTTCTAACTCTGGGAAATGAACTAGGGGTGGTGGAGGGGGAGGAGGGTGGAGGGTGGGGGTGAATGGGTGATGGGCACTGAGGGGTACACTTGACGGGATGAGCACTGGGGGTTATTCTGTATGTTGGTAAATTGAACACCAATAAAAATTAATTTATAAAAAAAATAAAATAAAATAATTCTCAAAAAAAATAAAAATAAAAAATAAATAAAATAATTCTCAGGGCATCTGGGCAGCTCAGTCGGTTGCGCATCTGCCTTCATTCAACTCAGGTTATGATCCTGGGGTCCTGGGATTGAGTCCCGTGTTGGGCTCCCTGCTTAGTGGGGAGTCTGCTTCTCCCTCTTCCTCTGCCCCTCCCCCTCACTCATGGTCTCTCACACTGCCTCTCTCCCCCAAATAAATAAAATAAAAATATTTTAAAATAATCAAAATAAAATAAAATAATTCTCTGCATTCCTGAAATGATTTTTGATATTTTTCTTGGTTCTTATAGTGCCTTGCATTTCTTTGGAAATGGCACGCAGAATTTGAAAGCCAAATGAATCTTGTAAGTGACATATCTTCCTTCCAGAGCCATCTGTGTCCACACAACAATTTGGAGTCACCCTGACAGAGGCACTTGGGTGCATGTTTATGCATGTAGCATTGCACACGAAGGAGCCAAGCACTAATCAGCCAGATCTTGGGTAATAGCACCATCTCCAATTCCACAGCAGGGTGCCTGAGTCACACACACCACCCACCAAAGAAGCTCAGATTTATGCAGCACCTGATTGCTCCAGCCCTTAAGCTGGTTTTTAGGTAATTGGCAAGATATCTCGCAAGGAACACTCACAGCATGGCATGATTTATTATGCATGAATGTTGAATCATGACAAATGGAGTTACTCAAAGTTCAGCTGACATGCTCAAGTCTAGAGGAGACCAGAGCCCTGAATGCAGCCGCCTGGCCTCTCCCATGGGTGCTCAGGTACCCAGTACCCATGGGTGTTCTTTGCTGGAGGGGTGTTTTTTTTTTAATAATAAATTTATTTTTTATTGGTGTTCAATTTACCAACATACAGAATAACACCCAGTGCTCATCCCATCAAGTGCCCCCCTCAGTGCCCGTCACCCATTCACCCCCACCCCCCGCCCTCCCCCCCTTACACCACCCCTAGTTCATTTCCCAGAGTTAGGAGTCTTCATGTTCTGTCTCCCTTTCTGATATTTCCTACCCATTTCTTCTCCCTTCCCCTCTATTCCCTTTCACTATTATTTATATTCCCCAAATGAATGAGACCATGTAATGTCTGACCTTTGGAGGGGTGTTTATCACTTCCCAGGGAGTGGGTGATGTGCCCACAGATGAAAGGAAGTCGCTCCAGGCAATTTGGCCTTCTGAAGAAGGTTTGTCGCTTCCCTGAGGGCCCTTCCACCCCATTACATGAGGAAGAGGGGCTGGCATCTCAATTCTTGAGTTAGAGGGACATTTTCTGTCCACGGTGGGTGCTCAAGCACAAATCCTGGAGGACTATCTAGAAATCTGCTCCCACGCATGAATCTTGAGATGCCTAGGATATTCTGGGTGCTACCTGAGTGTTCTCTTGATTTCTGTTCAATTAGAAATTGGACAGAATTCCAATTTGCATTTGCCCACATACAAAGCTCCCTAGCCTCTGCCCACCACATCCTCTGGAAATCCTCAGTTCCTCTCTATCCCAAGCTCTTGTCCTAGTGTCTCCCTCAGTCCCTCTGCCTGATTCTAGGGCCTCATGACCTGTTTTCTGATACGTGAAACATGTTCCAGCTCATGACCCTGTTCCATAGCCTCCCTTTCTAATATATCTACCAAAGCTCCAAGTCAATATTCCTGAGTCAGTAAAGCCCATGCCTGGCTCTAGCTCACAGACTGCAGGGCTCCCGCTGGTCTGTAGAGCAGACTAGAGCCTCTCTGCCTGGACTCGGGTCTCTACCTCCAGCAGCCCATCTTCCCATCAGCCCTAAGATCTGCTCATGGCCCTTGTGCCACCTCCCACAGGAGCTTTCATTCCTCCTACCCTGTGGTCTGCCCACATGGTCTGCAGAAATCCATCCTGGGTGCTCTCTCATCCCCATCTTGTGTGACTAGGCTCTCATGTAGTGTAGCCCCTCCAGGGAAACGCCCTGGGCCTTTCTAGGTGTTTCCGCTCCCTGGTGCCCATCTCACATGGGTGAGGGGAACAGCTTGGCTCCAGACTTACAGGGAATTGGGCCAGACCCATCTTCTTGTGGATGTCAGATGTGATCCCCAGGAGGAGATACACGTGTAATTCAGGAGTTCTAACATAAAATACAGAGAGTACACGGAATCCTCACTGCTGCCCTGTAATCCTACGTCTTCGTGGGAGTGTTCCTGTTTTATCCAAGTCCATTGCATGACTGTGCTGCTTACATAACCTCTTCATGACAGTGGCAAAAAATTATTGCCCTGGTGAATATTATGTTAATTCATCTGACAAGTTCTCTAAGCGCATGATATGATTGGTTATGTGCAGGTGAGTTCTGCTTGCCTCCATTCTAGGCATAACAGCTTCTCATAAGAAAGACCAATTCTTTCCAAAAATTCTTTATCATTCCTTATCATTTCAGGAGCAGGGAGGCCCCAAAGTGACACAGTATATCTCACCTGCGAGTGAGCTCTTCCCCAGATAAATTCTGCTTTTTCACTAGAGAAGTGCAATCTGATTGCAGGTGAAGGTAATGGAGAGGAAGTGGCTTTGATTTAGTTTTCAACCCTATATGGCCAGGACAGAAATTAAGTGCACCCGAAACACCAGCCCCCCTCTGATTGGGAAGATGATGACTAGCCCTCTGACATAGATCTCCTGGTGCTTCTATCTTAGAGCAAAGGAGGAAAGAAGTGCTCACCTATCCTGTGTGACATGGAGCATCACAAGCCAGAAAACCAAAGAAGGCTCTGAGAGCTGGGCTTGCAAATGATCTTGGCACAATTTCTCATTACCTTGCAAAATGACTGATGTTATGTCTCAGGAACTTAACAGAACTCCAAACTTAGGGGGAAAAGCTTAAAGCAGAATCAACCTTAGGTGTGCTTCTAAATATATCTTAACTCGTAACAAGTCCCCCTCAGCTCCTAGCAGAGAATTTTATTTTTTTTAATTTTTTTATTTATTTATGATAGTCACAGAGAGAGAGAGAGAGAGAGAGAGGCAGAGACATAGGCAGAGGGAGAAGCAGGCTCCATGCACCGGGAGCCCGACGTGGGATTCGATCCTGGGTCTCCAGGATCGCGCCCTGGGCCAAAGGCAGGCGCCAAACTGCTGCACCACCCAGGGATCCCCCTAGCAGAGAATTTTAATAGTAGTTTGTCACTATCAAGAAGCGTGAATTAAGGGTTTTAGTTCATGGGGGTCGACAAACAGATGATTATATGAGTCAGGCATTCAGGGCCTGGGGAGGTTCCCTGATCCAGAAACATCGCTGTTTGCCCCGCAGGGACAGGGCGTGTCACCCAGCACCACAGCAAGGACAGAAATAGTGGCAGTGGCCATTGTTTCCCAAGCATTTGCATGTGCCAGGCACAGGCTAGACATTTCATGAGCATTATCACACATGTCCCCTGACAATTCTTAGTTGATGGAAAAAAGTGCTTTACAGATGAGGAAACTGAGACTCAAGGAGATTGAGTAACTGGTGTGAGGCCCCATAAAAGCCAATGAGCAGGACCCAGACCTGGGCTGGGAGACCTGTGTCAGAGCAGACACTTTCAACATGTCTATAACCCAACTCTTTGCAAAGCAAACTGGAAGATACCATAGCTCTATGCTGTGCAGATGAAGGGTCTAGGTGTTTGAGGTTGGGATTTAGAAGACCATCTCAGCTGTGTGACCCAGAGATAGTTACCTTTCTGTGGCCTTTAAGATAAGAGAAGATCAGATCAGATAAGGCAGTGGTGCCATCCCAGCACCACAGACAGAACTGTTGTATGCCCTGGAAGAAAGCAGGTGATCATGCTCTGCATAGTCAGTGGAATGGTGCCATCTCATACCTGGACAGCCTCTCCATGTCCATATCTGCCTAATATGAACAGGTCTCTGAACAGAAGGGCATCCCCCAACCCCATGCAATCTGCTGGCTGGCCCCTTGGTCAGCTTTCTAAGATACCTGCCTGCCCGTGGGTTCCCTGCTGAGAAACACTGGGGCTCTCCAGGGCTAGCAGGATAGAACAGACTCCTCAGCTTGCCAAGGTGAGGACATGTCTACAGCCTGCCCCGATGTCTTGCCTTCACCCAGCCTCATGCTCCCACTTATTGCAGTTGCCAAAACCACCTGCCCCACCCCATCTCGGAGGCCCCACCCAGAGGCTCTCCCTTCCTGTCATCATGCAAGAACACCTGCTTATATGAGAGTGAGCAGCACCTCCCTGCTAACATCTTTCCGAAGACCCTGAGTGCTGAGTTCTGCTATCTGCCTTGCCGTGTAGCTCCTTGGACAGGAAGCTCTTCTCCAGTTAGATAAAGGGCCCATGATGCCTAGATGACAAGGATATAAATAAGGTTGGAATCTGCATTCTTAGTATCTGGAGGCAGGAGAGGATGGGCTTATGAGGTTTGGGGGTGGCTTGGTGGAAAGGGGATGCTGCCTCCCAAATGGGGTGAGGGCTGCTCACAGTGCTGATTAAAGTTGACAAAACACACGGGTGATCAGGGAGTTAAGCATCCCTTTACAACCTTAACATACATCACTAGAGTGTTTAGTATTCAAGGGACCTGTGCCCTGGCAAAGGAGTGTAGTAAATACTCCTCTGTGTGTCTGACGGATTGGCATAAACACTAAAACATGGAGGCAGCATCTATGAGGGACTTGGCATGTAAGAGCGCTTTTCCCAAAAGCCTTCCACTCTCATTGGCTGAAAAAGGCAACTTGGAGGGATTAATTTTAAGGTCCCTAATTTAAGATTCTGGAGTGATCAAGGCAATCTATTCAATTAGACCTTAGAAATTGAGGCTAGCAAAATGCAGTGAGAAAGGATCACTTACACACAGGAAATGAGCTAATCCTCCACTGGGATCTTTTTTTGGAGGTTGTCAGGGTATAAATAAGACATAAATATGATTAAAGTACTAATTGACAAATTGTCATCAAAGAGAAGTCCTGCTTCGCCTGTTTAAATGCTCAGAATATATTTAGAATATTTATCATGTGTAAATTAATGTAACTCAAACACAGAAGCCCTCTTTTTCAACATGGACGTGTTGAGGAAAATGAACAGAATGTAACAATAGCTTAGAGTTTGGGCAATGTGTCAGGAGAAGCTTCAAAAAATATGAATGGTGAGATATTTTAAATGCAGTGCTATTACTTTCAAGGACTTCTAGCAGCTGGCAATTAAATAGTTTATATTTCAAAGGAGTTTTTTTCAGTGGCCTACTTTAATAAATGAAAGCCAATCATCAAAATTAACAAACAATTTGTACATGTTTATCAAATTCTTACATACATTAGTGTGAAGTAGTAAGGCCACGTCCTTGCTGATATTTTAACATCCATTTTATTGGTCCTCAT